TTGGTTGTTCTGGGTTTTTCGGGCTCTTTGGCCGTGTTGTGAAGGTTGTTCTTCCTAACGTTTCGCCAGTCTCTGTGGCCAGCATCTTCAGAGGACAGCAACCTGTGCTCTGGTGTAGTTGGTTCTCCTGATTATCTTAACTCCCCAGCAGGCTCATAATGGGAGACACCCTCTTTGAGATACGTTGGGTCCAGGTCACTTAGGGCTTTATAGGTTAAAACCACGCTTTGAATTATGCAAGATATTTACGCTTAAATTCTGGCACATCTTTTGGAAGCAAAAGAAAAATTACCAAAAAACAAAACTGACAAATGTTCAGGACATCCCTAAGTGTGTAACAGATTTAGGTCAGCTGCAGATATGTTCTGTTACTAAATCATGGCAAATACAGTAAGAACCTTTAGCCGCTTCCTGGAAATATTAAGTAAAACACCCAGAACAGAAAACCAGAAAATACTAAATAAAAACCACAGTGTATTTACCAGAACTAGCCATTAGAGAGGACTAGAGACAACACTATGTATTGCATTCACTCATTCCGGATTTTTCAGTGTCTGTGAGGGTGGGGCTTGGAACCAATCCCCTACATATACAGTGGTGCCTTGACTTACAGAATTAATCCGTATTGGAAGGGTGGCCGTACCTTGAAATTTTCGTAAGTCAAAGCACCATTTCCCATAGGAATACATTGAAAAACAATTAATCTGTTCCGACAGAAGAAAAAAATACCCCCAAAAATGACTGCCACCACCAAGGGAGGCCTCCCGAGGTTCCCCACCACCCCGACTGCCGCGCGGGGTGCCGGTGCTTTGGAAGCCCGGGAAGCCAGCACCCGGTGCGGTGGTTGGGGCAGCTTCCAAAGCTGTCCCCACTGCCCTCTGCCTCCCATCCCTGCTGCCTCCACCGCTGCAGGAGGCAGTGGGAACGGGAGGCAGAGTGCAGCCAGGACGGGAGGCAGAGAACAATGGGGACGGCTTTACAAGGCCGTCCCTGCTGCCCTCTGCCTCCTGTCCCTGCTGCCTCATAGCGGGGACGGGAGGCAGAGGGCAGCAGGAATGGGAGGCAAAGGGCAGCGGGAATGGGAGGCAGAGGGCAGCGGGAATGGGAGGCAGAGGGCAGCGGGCGCGGCTTTGAATTTCCCGCCCTTTCCCCCTGCTTTTTGTAGGTCGAAGCTCCAGCTGCAAGTAGAAGCAAAATTTTGCGGCCGGAGCTTTTCGTACCTCGAAATTTTCGCAACTAGGGATGTTTGTAAGTCAAGGCACCACAGTATAACAGTCCTACTGTTATTCATAACCTCTTCTTAACTGCTAGACTTTATGTGAATGTAGAAAGGTACTTTTTGCCTGTTTTTTTATTTAAGCATAGTAATGAGACTAAGGTGTTAATTAACAATATTATAAATCTTTTGTTACAGAAGTCATTTTGCCCTTGCAAATATTTAAAGATACAGGAAATGTTGTGCAGTTAATAACTGCATGTCAATAACATGCTGTGTCAGAATATTGCACTGATATAACCTATCACACCTAAGTCAGTGACCTGTTCAGCCATACGCTACTAGCCCTGATTGCAGCCGTGTATCTTCTTTCTGTTATCATTCCATTCAAAAATCTTCCGGAGTCAAGATTAAGGGATAGGAGAAGAGGTGAATTAAATTTCCAGAGAGAGGGGAGAAAAACAAAATCATATTCCATATACATTCCATTCAACAACAGCACCGACAATCAGGAAATGAATCTGCCATTTATTCACAAGTGAAGAGATTATTCTTTCAAAGCAAGAAGCAGTATCTAGAAAATGAGATTTTCCATAAAGCTTATATGTCGTTCTTCAGCTATCCAACCAAATTGTTACTTGATATGGCATTCATATTTATAACAAAGGGACAACAGCTACTGCTCATGCTAAGCTTCCAGCTTTTTGTCTGTTTTGTAAAACAGAACAAAAGAAAACCCTGCAGAAAGAAAACTATCAGATTCTGACAGCAGCCTTTTTTTTTTTGATAGAAAAGGATCGAGTTTTGATGGCCACATAGGGCAGCAGATTTAGCTAACAAAAATGTTATAAAGGTATCGACACTGCACACCCTTGTAGTGGTCATGGCTCCATTCTGCACAACACTGAAGTTTGTAGCTTGATGAGGGACTTGGGAGTTTTCTGCAAGAGAACTCCAGGGTACCTCCTCGACATACCGCAGATAATGGCAAGTCCCTCACAAAGCTGCAAATTGCAATATTCCTTAGGATGGAACAAATACAGTTGAAGTGCCATCAAGCGAGTGTAAAAGAACTGAAGGACACATCATGGTCACTGAGTGTCCACCCTTTCAGGTGATGAACGTCTGAAATACTTCGTGTGCGTTCATAGAAGAGCAGCAAGAGAGCAGCCCAGTATCTTTTTCAGGTGGACACTGATGACCTGCTCAGGCCCAAGAGAGACTGATCAACAAGGATGATTTTCTCCCAGCACCTACTACAAGACTCACTATAATCAGGGCTGGCAGAACAGACGACACCCACCTTAAGCAAAAACCAGCCAGGTTATTTTGACACATGGAGGGAAAAAAAAATTCCACAAGCCTGTCTTTCCACCCTGGGCAGTAACAGTGCCCTAATAACAAAACCACAATTTAATTTTTGACCATTTGTGGCCTCCTAGTTATACTTTAAACTTGTCCTTGTTGGCAATTGCCTCGCCCAGTCTAATGGCAGGGCCGTCCTGCTGCTTACACTATTTCAGTGCTGTGTGGTTTATTTGTTTTTAAACATTCCCATATCTACTGTTGGACATTCACACCAGGAAAACAAAACTGCTTTGTGCTCCTAGCTTCACAAAACACAAGCAATAGATGCAACTGTCATACCTATGCATGCAACAGCACAAATATACATTATTCCACATTTCATAGTATACCTCGAGAACCCCATGCCTCTCATTTTCTGTTGCTTTCATGAAGGCTTGTCCAGCCACAGACCATTTATTACCAGTCTGAAACCTATTCCTTCGATGGCAGTGCGATCCCTGAGGCGACATCAGTGGCATTGGACAGCATGAGGCATGAGGCCAATTTATCCTTTGGCTTGTAGCAGGTGCAACTCAGCCAGAAGCAATCTTTATTCATAGGTGGTGTCATCCAAAAAATTTGAGGCGTCAAAGGCTACGGTTAGCTTAAAGAGCTGCATAACTAGCCATGTGGAACTGGTTGAAAACAAGCCTTTTTCACTCTTGTTGCATTTCTGCCGAAGCCTAGAAGGAACCAGAGCAGATTGGGCAGCTGCCACATGTGATAGCAGGTGTGAAATGTTTACTGCCAGCTTTTTTTTTGAGACCTTCACCAGAGTATTATTTGCTGGCACGGATTCATTTTTAAGGCATAGCTAAGAAAAGGAAGGCTTGCTTTGGAAAACAGAGCCCATCCCAGGTCTGTCTCCCAGCACTTTTAAAGAGTTTTTTCTTTCTTTTTCTTTTTTCCCCTCCTTTCTTTCTTTTCCAGAAATCATGCATTATGCTCAGGCAGGAGTGGGAGGGGGGGAACCAAATTCCAAAATCAAAATCAAAAGTGTCTTGACACTTATAACTTATTTATTCATTTATTGTCATTTTTTGTTAGCCATTTCCGGCTATTCTGGGAATAGTGAGCCTTGTAGTAGGTGGTTTGCCATCAACGTTGCACATTTTGTTGTATATATGACAGTCCTATAAGACATGACCTAGTATCTTAAGAACCTGTGTTAAATAAGCCAATCTACCTTGGATTCCCAGTGTTTTAAAATATTTTATATGCATCTCAGTCACACCTATTTGGTAATTAATTCTTTAGATAAATAGGATTCTACAGATGCAGAGTGTTCATCCTTCCTTCCAGCTATTAATAATAATAATAATAATCATCATCATCATTGTAATCCCTCCATAGGTACAGGCCTTGTTCAGGCAAATGGCCTTGTGTGCTTTAGTGAGGTTGAGAGCTATGCTGAAGGATCTCCCAAACCAGACAGGTCTCAGCTGAGAAGCCAGACCAATTGTGTCCACCAACCATCAGTTATAATGAGAGGAAATAAACAGAAGTCCATGCTGGATTGGTCAACAAGTCCATGCCCAGGTCAACAAGGACCATGTCAGATGCTTTAGCCCCTGGACATCTGGTGACTGATGGGATACAGGGCTCAGCAGACCCTGTTGAGGAGTCAGGACAGGCTGCTGCAAAGCTATTGGACCAACGTAAATGCAAAACTTGGACTGCCACCAAAAATTGGGAAATTATTAAATGTTATTGCAAGGCAAACCCAACAGCCCATGGTTTTTAAAAAAGAAGAATAGAAATTTGGAAAAGGAAACACTGAAGTATTGACATAACTGAACAATGATTAATGGACCAGAGAAAGTTTATCATCTGGAGTAAAATGTTTTCAGAACTGGAATTGCAAGAACTAGGAAAAGCGGCAAAATAAAAATCAACACAAAACAATGACCATAATATGGAAGACAAATGGAGGATAGAAATAGACACAATAGTGGAAGAAAATGTATCAGTAGAGGAACAACTTACAGAACAACCCAGAAATTATGAGTTGACAGAACAGCAGAATCACTGAGGGGAAAAATAGTAACACACGTTAGCCAGAACACAGGAAGACAAAGGCTCCCCACTTTGCACCAATTACAAAGTAAATCAGTAAAAGATCTACTGAATGATGCTAATGTAGTCAACAGAACAATCCAAACAAAACAGTTCATATATAGCACAGCTACCATAACAACCATGGAGCTTGATACAATCTGGGGGAAAACCAGAAAGTCCCTGGCACTCCAAAATGGAAAAGGAAGGAAAAATAAACAAATTATGTGGAGACATTAGCAGCTTAAAACAACTGAAAGATTCAAAACTTTAAAATGCAAAAGTAAAAGCCAGCGTATGCAAAATATATGACCTAGAAAGGAAAACAATTGTTGAAACTATGGAAGAATTAAAACAACGGGTAACAGCTACAGCAAAGAAAGTTGAAATATATGATGGACGCTTGAAACAATATAGACAAAACACACAATTTCAAAATAACTAGCCATTATTCTATACATCACTAGGAGAAAATGCAGAGCAAAAGAAATTAGGCCCATGCAAAGATGATACAGTACTCTAAAATTTTGGAAGGAAATTTGGAAAATCCCAACTGGATATAATAAAAATGCCTCATGGATTAAAGACATTTGTAAAGAAACTCAAGGAAAACATATTGATGATATTGTATGAAATTTTCAAGAGGTAACTAGAGGCTGTGCAAAATTGGAGTACACCTAGTCCAGATGAGCTACATGGATTTTGGTTAAAGCATTTAACAAGTCTCCATCAACATATAGCAGTGCCATTTAATCACCTACTTATGGGACAGTACTGAGATAGCTGGACTGGTAGCTTTATTCTTGAATATCTTCCAGTGTGAATGAAAAATAAATAAAGTGTCAAACTGTCTCTGTGCCATGTTAACCCAAAGACATTTCAGCCACTTTTAATATAACCCCTGGGTCTTCTGTACATAAAGATGACCAGGGAGGAGCTACTGCTTAGCCTTTAGGCTGTTGGGTGTCTTCCTATAAGCTATGGTACTTCCTCTAAAAAGCAGTGCACATTTTGTGAAGAAATTGCAGTTCCTCCCAGTTTCACCTAGGGAGAAAGATACCAATTACCTTGTGGTAAAATCCAACACAGAGAAACTGAACAAGCTGAAAAATATCCTCAGAGTTTCCATCTCTCTGGTTAGGGTCCACTTCCTAGACTGGGATGTTTATTTTCTCTCATTCTTCAAAGGCTGTCTTGACCACCTTCTGCCAACCTTTCCAGTAACCACAGTCCTCTCTTTTTCTTTTGTTTGTCTGTATCAATGCTCTCATCTCTTCCTTTGGACACCATGACCTCCATTTTCTTCAGCTCTCACTTGTGCCCCTTTGGCCTCCCCCTCACAAGAGTCCTCAGAACAAGAGTCTTCAGAACCCCTTGCTTAAATTCACTGAGGGAGCAAAGATCCTGTCCAAAACACACACACACAGAGAGAGAGAGAGAGAGAGAGAGAGAGAGAGCAGATGTAGGAAACTTTGTGCATGGAATCATGAAATGAACCCAGTAAATGAATGAATGACAAAAGAGTCCAATTAATGTTCAGCAAGGGGATTACCTTGATGGAATCCACTGCAACCATTACTAGTTTCTAAACATCTCCCCTCTGAAAAATTGGAGTGGCTCTTTGCATATATTATTTGTGCCCAGGAGATGAGTAAAGTGGGGTGGGGCTGCTTCTGGACAGCTGTCATGTAGTCAGTGGGCTTAATTATCCCAATTCATATGTTATCAGCAGGCTGCTTGTAATGCAGCCTGTGTGGCATTATATAGGCAGCAGTCGGCTCATACATTTTTCATGGCTGTTCCTAGCATTAATTTGTAGGTTATTTTTTATAACCTCTTCAGCGGGTGGCTTGTCAGAATATGTTTCCATGCACACAGTGCTTTTGGAAAGCTGATTATGATAATAGCCCCCAATTTTCTAGTAGAAATTGGAAAACATATAAGAAAAGCAAATGGAAGCCATATTGCTTTTGTCTAGGCTTCCTTTCTTTGTTCTTCTGATTTTTGGGGTCTTGGTCTCTCCTCCAAGAATTTAGCCACACAATTCTATAAATTGGCATTTAACCAATTGGGGATCCCCAGTGTGGTGTGGTGGATAGAGTGATGGACTAAGACCCTGGAGACCGGGGTTCAAATCTCCACTCAGCCATGGAAACTCACTGGGGGAGTGGAACTGGTAAAACCACCCCTTAAATATCCCATTTACCTTGAAAGCTCTGTTTGGATTGACTTGACAGCACAGAACACACACACACACACACACACACACACGTTACTTTAGCACTTTAGTTCATCTTCGATGTACAGTAGGGCACCTGTATCTGCAGGGGATCAGCTCCACAATCTACCATGGATGCCTGAAACTGCAGATACGAAGGAACCCTATATACAGCTTAAAAATGACAAGGCAAAGAGGGGCAGGACTCTGCACTGGAGCTGGGTATAAAATTCAGTTATAAATAAATTGTCACCAAATTGGCACAGGGATTCCCCTTCTAACTGCCACATTTCTGTACGCAAGCCGCAAAGCTGTCATGCTTCTTGTTTCACCCTCTCTACTCCTCTGGCAGGTATCGTCCGTGCCTCCAGCGTATTTCCTATCCTAAGCACGATACTGCTATTACTGGGAGGACTCTGCATCGGAGCTGGGAGGATTTACAGCAGCAAGAACAACATTATCCTCAGTGCTGGGATACTTTTTGTTGCTGCAGGTAGGCCATCCTCTCCTTCTTCCAGTAACTTGTTTGTTTGTCTGTTTCTAGATCTATTGGGGGGGGGCTGACAAGAAACTACTATAACTCTTGTACTATGAGTGGATTCAGAGTTGCCCCATTCTGCCAGCTGTCTGTGGCCCTCTGTACCAACGATCTCCACGTCCCACAGTTACCCACATGCCCTTCCTTCAAGACCTGAAATCTCATTCTTCCCAAACTGCTCCATATTTTTCCCCTTCGTGTCAATGACCATTCTGTGTTAAAAGTTAGCTTCCGTTTTGGAAGACAGAGCAGCAAACTGCCAATCCTACTGGCTATGCGTGCATCTTACGTTTCCTTTGTTTAAACCTGTCTGTCACAGACAGAAAGTGGCTTAGCTTATTCCAAGCTTCTTAAGAAGCATTTCTATACAGTATTACCTTATCTTCTTTATCTGGGATTCTTTATTTAAATGCTGCTGGATTATATCTAGAGAGAGAGCTTGGAAGTAACACACTATAAGTATCATTGTTACTGGCAGCTTGTTTCTTTCTGCAACAATAAGAGCATGACAAGATTTTTGTGAAACAACAAGGTGACTGCCACCGCCAAGGGAGGCCTCCCGAGGTGATGGGATGACCTTTTTAGTGTACTCAATACCCTTTACTGATTACTTCTTTTTTTTTTAAAGGATGATTTGTTCATGGAGAGTTTGGAGTACAGTAGGACCTCCATAAGTTAGATTTTGCTGCTCACCTGAATAGGCATCCAGCAAAACTTGTGACTGAGCAGGGGTTTAAACTTGTCCGCCCCTGTTTCAAGTATTGTACAGAACTGTAACCATTATATTATTGAGATATTTTACAGTTCTCAATGACATTATATGGACTTTATCAGAGAGTATAAAAATGCATCAATTAATTGTTTAATTGGCATATTATGTAAATTAGGGTGTCTGTACTTTGAGGACTAGAATATAGCAAACCTAGTTAGAGGAGAGCAGAAGAGCACACAAACCTGAGATTAACTATGAGCAATTGCTTTCATGATGGACCATTTGTATCCAAATACAATCAGAACCTGAATGCAGAATTGATTCTGACTCTCAGCCCTGATAAATCCTGGGTGAGATTTCCAAATCTCACTAGCAAATGCCCCACACTTTCTAACTATTGATATTTAACAGTTAATCTTTCTGTTGGTCTTATGATTGCTATGCAGCAGGATTTTAGCCTTTGGAACATTTTAGCCTCAAGTTCTTTCTGTATGTACATTCCGGTCAGAGAGCTAGCTTCTGATCCCCTGAAAACCCACACAGGTTCAAGTGGAGCTGTGACATAGGAAAGCGCAAGAAAATGTCAGAATTAGATGCAACAAAACTGGGGCACACAGACCAGAACATGTTTGTGACTTCAGTAAGGCATGTTTTGGTGAGTGAGCTTGTTTTCTAGGATAGACTGAGCTCCCTATTTCTGAGGGTCCAGTTGCACTTACCACCAGGACCGTTGCCACTACAATATTCTTGGGGAGAAAAGGAACAACACTTGTATTGGATCTGCCCACTCAGCTTCTCTGTGTCAAGCAATATCAAGTTAGATCCAACTTATTAGCAACCCTAGTAAAGCAAAGTGTGCTGCTTATATACCACTCCATAGTGCTTAAAGCACTCTTTGGGCAGTTTTCAATTTAATTATGCAGGCTACACATTGCCCTCCCAGTGAGCTGGTTACTCAGTTTACTAACCTCAGAAGGATGGAACGCTGAGGGAACCTTGAGCCATCCATATGGGATTGAACTTGGATCATGAGCTTAGTTTTGGCTGCAGTATCACAGTTTAAGCACTGCACCACAAGGTCTTCCAAGGTGATATATTTAAGGAGTGATTTCAACAGTCCCAGTTCTCCAGTGGGTTTCCATCGTCAAGTGAATTTGGTGAAATGGACCAGGAAACTGGGGAAAACCTGCCTACACCAACCCAGGGCAAGATGGAAATCTCTTTTGTTGTTCTTGGCCAGCTAGAGCAAAACATGTACCCAGCACCTGCCATAGTTGCCACTATTCTTGCTAGGGCTTGCGATCTCCTAGCTTTAGCTGCAGCACACATCGCACATGAATGGGGTTTTTTTTTCAGGCCCTAAAATGGGGCTGGGAATTGTGGAAGGCCCGCTGCCAGCCCAGGGAGTGGAGAATCCCAGGCTCTGCTTAGCTGCTGTGGTAACTCCTCTTTAGGCAAGAGCCAAAAGAAACGGGATGTGAGTGCAGTTCCCAGAGTATTAAACCCTTTGCTTTAACAAGCAGACCTTCAGAACTGCTCCTCCTCCTATAACATGCCCCACTCATGTTAGAACCTAAATATCAAGGTATTTATTATTCTAGGGACACAATTGTGTATTCCCCCCCCCCAGAGTGCAGGACTTTTAACAAACATAGTGTGGGTGTACAAGCATTGCCTACAGTTGCCAGGGGCTGGGGAAATCTCCTGGGATAATTATGCAACTCCTGTCTCTTCAACAGCGGTTAGTGACACACTTTTTTTTAATTTCAAGGATGTTATTCCTAGTCATCCCCAACAAGGTGCCTCTGCATCTGGGCTGGGCCTTCTGCTCTATGGTTTGCCATGACACAATTTCCAAATGGAGCAGATGGTTTACTGTTTATCAGACAAACTTATTATCTAATATCCCCATGGATGTGCTTCACTGGATTTAAGTGAAGGGGTGCCTTCACTTACACTGCATTTCATGTTGAAGAGTCCCCTTCGCAGAAACTCTGTTGTGTAATCTCCTTGAGAGGCTAGAAATCCAGTGGTCTTTTCCATGCCCTTCTCTCACAGACACTGGATAGAACGGCAGGCGGGTCCTGCATCCTTTTGCAGAGAAACGAAACCCTTGAGAACATCCCCTGAGCGGCTTTCTTTGTACTGTACTGGCATCATGGTGCACTCAACATTGTCTTCTCGGGACAATCCTCTCAAGCGCAATCAGTATTGAATATAGCCAGTGGAGGATTTAGGCAGTAGGAAAATCCATGCCTGTTTGGTGAGGCTAAGATTTTCTAGAGCAGCAGTTTTCAAAAGAATTCTACCTTGCAGGATCCTTTCTTTCACCCATGAAGCACCTCCACATTGCACAGAAATCCTGGAGCCTCCTGAACCAAAGAAAGGAGAGAGGGAGCACCCTGCCTCAGCCAGGTTCACTTAGTACACCCTTTAATGTCATTGCAGCACCAAGCAAGAGTGCTTAATTCTATTTAATTAGGGACTGCAACTTCAGACCTACCCTTTGCTTTTGCCACCAGATTTTACAAGAGACACAGAAGTAAATTTTTTTAAAGCATCCTACAAGCACTCCAGACTCTGCTCAGGATCCCAAAAGGATGTGGCTAATCACTGTAAACATCCATTTAGTGGTGTGACTTAGCAAAACAGAAAAGTGTAGTATTATGGCAACACGTTTTGGCTTCAGCTTCCCTCAGCTGCTCTGAAGAGGAGTGTGCTGTAATCAAAGGAACAGCTGTGGAAACCCAGAGGATGGAGTATACCAAAGCGGACAGGAGCTCAGGCCATGAGATGCTTGGGCACCACGTCTATAAATCCAGAAGGTCTTCCATCACTGACAAATCAAATAGGCCAGAATCTTCAGCTTTAACATATCCATACAACTTAGTGGTCAAGATGGCAGCCTCATAATTACCACAAATAAGGATAGAGGTTGCTTGTTGTTTTGCCTATTTTCTGTCAATGGCATCCTCGACATTTACACTCAGTGACAGAAATTTGATTTGAAAATGTTGACTTGCCCATTGAATATTGTGTCAACACAAATTACTTGTTTATATCTTAGGAAAATAGTTACCTTTAAGAGCACTATTAGTGGCAGGGTTTCTGTTAAGGTAGAACAACATTTATTGTTTTTGCAAGCTAACATATGTCATTGAGTGCCAGCACCTGTGTAAGTTACACATGGGGAATCGCAAGACTGTGATTCAGGAATGTTGACTGGTGGCTTAAAATGCTTACAACATGTTTCTTGGATTTGAAGATGGAAAACTATCACAAAAGGGTAGTTAAGGGCTTTCTCATGATGTTCTGAGTTTGATCGTGGACAGCTTTCCCTAATTTCCCTCTTGTAATTAGTAGATGTTGGGTAAAAATCAAGCACAAATGAAATATGTTGATAGATTCTTAACTTTGGTAGAGATAACTTTCCCTTGAAAAGCTAAATGTTATATGATACCAAGTGCTGCATTGTGTGTGTGTATCCAAACAAGACAGTCACCCTCAGGAGCAATATGAGTGGCAGAACTTACTATTTAAAACACATGATCTCTATTTATGTGTGTACACACACCTACATAATACATAGGAGTCTCATGATCATGAACAATTCCTTGAAGTGCAGGATATAAATACCTGAACATAAATTAAATCTGAAATATACATACTGAACTCAAATAAAACAGAAATATACATGCTGACCTTATCATACTCCTAAAAGAACCAAGTGTTTTACAACACCAGACCCTACTCACTTGGTGATTGTGTGTTCCAGGGAAGACTGGCCGAGGAAAGAGCAGGGACCTTGATTGACTTAGATGGTGTTTACTAAGTTCAGTTGCTCTGGAAACAAAGCCATTTATGGTTACTGCTTGCATGTGGAAAGGGAAGATTATCCAACACTCAGGCCCTGAGATTTGGTGGGGAGAGGCAGGGAACTGAGGGGAGGAGCAGGAAAGCCAGAGACTAGACAGATGCAAGGAAGGTCCAGATCAGTGACTGGACAGAGAATGAGGATGGAATGCATGTTTTGAAGGAAACGGTAGAGCAAGTCAGAGAAGAAAAATGGCTGATGAGCAAACAGAGAAGCAGGCAAGCAGTTGGGTCTGAAGGGCTCAGGATGCCAGGCCAGAGAGCAAACAGTCACTCAACCCTGACAGGGTTTGCCATGTCCTTAAGAAGTGCATAGAAAGGGAGTGCAGCTAGTTGTGATTTCTCCTGTCACTGTGAGACAGTCACCCTTAGGAGCAGTCACTGTGACCTTTCTCTTTTCTGGGGACAGTGGGGGCCAGCCAATAATAGCTGTCCCTTGACCCCAGGTTTCTGGGTTTCTGCATATGTCTTCAGAAACCAATGGTTTATTTTCATAGCTTAGCACATAGTGCAAGAAAACTCAGAGCATTCTGATGGTGTTAACATCCCAAAATTGCTTATCAGCATCATATCATTTAAACTGGCTTTCAATCCATTTCAGTTGTTATTCAAAGTCCCATTTCCAACCTTTAAAGTTTTCCATGGTTTGGGAGTGGTGCGCTTCATTGTTTGCCCACCTCTGGACAATCCAATGTAATTCTTAAGATCTTCTTCCAAGACCTTACCAGGGGAGATGCAGTGGGTAGATACTGAAGAAAGGGCCTTTTCATTGGTAGAGGTGGAATACTTTCACTGGAGATGTTTACCTAGCATCAGCCTTTATATTAATTTTGTATCAGGAAAATACTTTTATTATTACTATTATTTTCCCAGGGCCTTTTCATTTTCTGTAAGAAGCATTGACTTTTCTGCTTGTATTTGTGCTTCTGTTTTGGTTTTGTAGCTGACTCATTTTATTATCTGCAATCTTAATTTGCTCCTACCTTTTCAAATGCTAGCCCGAGAGTGTGGTCCTAAGGCAGCATATAGATGCTTACAACAAATAAATACTGTTGAAGTCGATTGGGTTTAGTGCTGGAGTCAGTCCCTGCTTGTGATGCCAGCTCCATGAAGCCCTTTGAGAGCTATCTTGGCAAGTATCTGGAGTCATAGTTGAACATCTCTTCAAATAAAGTAAGAAGCTTTTGGTCTTAGTTGGGATATCCACTCTGCAACAGACAGCTTGATTATAGTTAAGTCGTGTTTTATCTGGGGCTAGGGATTATCATCATGATGATTGTATTTTGAAGCTAACCAGCCTGTTTCCTCCCTTTTTTTCCAGGCTTAAGTAACATAATTGGGATAATTGTGTACATATCCAGCAATGCAGGTGATCCTAGTGACAAGCGGGATGAAGACAAAAAGAATCAATACAATTATGGCTGGTCTTTTTATTTTGGAGCCTTGTCTTTCATTGTGGCAGAGACAGTTGGAGTTCTAGCTGTGAACATTTATATAGAGAAAAACAAGGAACTGAGGTTTAAGACCAAGAGGGAGTTCCTTAAAACGTCTTCCTCTTCTCCTTATGCCAGAATGCCAAGCTATAGATATAGGAGGAGGCGGTCCAGATCAAGTTCTCGATCTACAGAGCCTTCTCCATCAAGGGATGTTTCTCCGGTGGGCCTGAAAATGGCAGGTTCTATTCCCATGAATGAAATCTCCATGTACACACTCTCCAGGGAACCCTTAAAGGTCACCACCGCTCCAAGTTACAATATGGAACAAGATGCTGGTTTCCTTCAAGTCCACAATTTCCTGCAGAAGGAATTCAAAGAAGGACTTCATATCAACATGGTCAACAGGAGAACGACACCTGTTTGAAGGGATTTGCTTCCACTGTCAAAAGTAACAAACATGAAACAGACAAGGCAAAATCCATATCTTTTATACATGGAAATGTATGTATTTTGAAAAAGATCTTGCATACCTCAAGGTAAAATCACATGAAGAGGTTGCAGTCAGAGGGACTGAAATACTGTAATGACCTGAAGATACAGAACTGTACATTTCTAGCTGATTTTTATAAGCTCTTTCAAAGTTTGTTTAATCGAGATTCTCAGTGTCACAACACACAAACACATACCCACAAGAAATTAAAATCAGCAGCTCCTACCCCTGCACTTTTGTAGTACGTGTAGTATAACCTGTGACATGAAAAACATTTTAGCGATAGTAAGTTTTTAACTTTTCAGTGTGGATCTTTTTGTATAATGCTATTCTTTGGTACAAACAGAAATCAATCACAAATGCTGTCTAGTGCTCCTATTTCCTTTGAGCTGGAAAAAGAAAAAGAGGGAGTGGTTGTTCCTCCCAATGGTTTGTGTCGCCTCTTTAAGATGGGGGAAGAAAGCAAAATGTCTGGGGATGAGAGTGTGTGGTTTTAGTCTGGATGGCTCAAAACCTTGCAGGACACGATACCAGGAAGCCAAGAAGATGTGGAAACCAATGAAAAGCATTTCTGCTGTGGAGCTTGGGGTGGGGAAGTAGGGTGGATGCAGGTCAGTTGTTTATCTCAGTAGGAAATCTTTGTGGAGAAAGGGACTGAACTAGGATTGAATTCACTGACCTGTTAAGGTGAACGTCATTCTCTCTCCCCCATTCCCCACCTCTCAGGCTGTTCAGTGTCCTTTGGATTTTGTACAACTTTTTGGTCTATACACGCTTGAGTAAATACTGTTTTTAGATTTTTTTAAAAAAGAATATCTCTTTTTTTAAAAAAAAAAATGCTGTACACCATCCTCTCCCTGTTAAGATGAATTAGCCCTCCTCCTCACATTGGAAGGAAGGAAGAGCTGGGGGAGGGGGAAGTCTCTCGGACACCATTTTATATTTGAGGCAAGCCTAGGAGAATGAAAGGAGAATCCTCTCAAGGGAATGGAGACGAGATCCAACCATGGCGACTCTGTTTATAAAGAATGAGACCATGGCCCTACAATATCACTTTTTAGGAACTAGACCAGAGTTTTTTCTCAGCCCAGTACTGCACCCAAACATGGATTCCCCAGTTGGTCTTGGAATATCGCTCCCACCTCCTTGACCGCTGGGCACGCTGACTGGGACTTCCAGCAGTTCAGGTCCCAGTAATACTTGGTGGCCCAAATTTGGGAAGCACTTTGCCAGGATCTGAACCACAGCTTGGGAGAAAATTGGGGGCCAGAAACAAGCATTAATTAGTTTTAGTAACTGATCGCATTATAAGTCCTTTGGGCATCTTGCCAATACCATCCTTCCATAAAAATATACTGCCTAGGAAGATAGTGCCGCTGGGCATTGCCATCTCCTGAAACTTGGTGTGGGATCCAGTGACTGAAAAGAGAAATACTGTCCCTCCCTCCCTGCGATGGATGGAAGTTGCAAACACACGTACATTTGCTTCTTCTGTCAAGGAGTATTTCCTCTGGTGCAGGAAGAGGGACAGGAGAGATTTCAATGCTGCTGCTGGGAGTGCCTTCTAGGCTGATGTGTGAATATCCCTCATTCTTGTTTTTGTTGCAATTCTTCAAATTCCTCCCCTCCCCGGATTTAAATTTTGAAATGCCGCCCACTGTTAACGTTCACGCTCAATTTCGTACATTTTCCATCTTCGTTCTACCAAACATATGCATTCATTTATCCATTCTGTGCCATGAATGTAATTTCCCCAAGACTTAAATTGATTTGTGTGTTATTTTTTTAGTGGTATATATTTTATCCAGTTACTTTTTGTTCGGTGACCCATGCCTTTGTACACACTCAATTTCCCTGTGAAATCCTGGAAGCCTGGCAGGCATGTAAATACTCAAAGCTAAGTCTGTTTTGGAGGGGAAAGTTCTTTTGACTTAGACCGGAGAAGCCAGTGAGGTTCCTCTCCATCCCTACCTCCAGCAGCAGCACTTGGCCTTGTTTTCTTTTTCCCCTCCAGGAATGCCAGTGGCAAGCGGGAAGTTGAGCAGGGTTGCAGCGCGTGGGGCTTCAGTTGAGAAGTTCCCTGTTCCTGACTTTTCTCAATTGAGTAGATCAGGTTAGGAAAATGGACTTCATTCTAAATCCAGATTAGCATCCTTGCAATTCCAACTGTTCTCAGATCTTGGGCAATGACTAAGGTTCTGTCTACTGAATTTGCTTGTACTAAGCTCCATTTCTGCTTCACAAGATGAGCTGACCTGAAAGGAGGATATTTTAGAAAGATTTGCATAGTTACCCTTGTTTTTCTATGCTGAGCTACTCTGACAGCTCAGAGATGCCTTTTTAAAAAAGCAAGGGAAAAAAACATACATAAGCTGTGACTGAACTGGAATCGGGGCGGGAGGTATGCATCTTAAGAAGTTAAAAATGCCCTGCTGGATCAGGCCAAAGTTCATCAACTCCCAGCATTCTCCTCTTTCATTCCCAGTCATGATGTCTAAACCAAGGGATGATCAAATTATCCGCAGTTGGTTGTCCTTCATGAATGAGTACCAGAACGTGAGGATTCCACCTAGCAACCATGGCCTTAGAAGCATTGATAGACATGTTTTCCTCTATGATTTTTGTCTAGTCCTTCCAAGAAGCCATCCAGACTATAGCACTACATCCGTTAATACTGAACTCCCCAATGCTATTATCTTTCATCAGAGGTGGACAACTTGTGGATTTCTAAGTGTCGCTGGACTACATCACCCATCAGCTGTGGTGATGAGAGATGCTGGAAGGAGCTGTCAAGCAACCTCTGGAGTGCCCCAAGTGGAGATGGAGGATTTGTATTCATCTCCCAGGGGAGACAAATACGAAGCCCACCATCACAACTAGCCTGCCTGATTAAACCCTCCCTTTCTTCACTGGGCATCCACTTACAGGGTGGCCCACACCGCCATCGTTCTTCTCTCCATGCTAATCATGGAAGTAGCCTGGCTAGGGCTTCCCCACCCTCCTGTGATGCTGACCAATCAGCAGATGTGCAGAGAGCTGCACAATCCTGCCCCTTCGCCAGATTGGCCAGCAGCACAGGGAGGCAGGAAAGCCCCAGCCAAGCTACTTACATGATTGGGGTGGGGAGAAGAATGACGGCGGCGTGCACCGTGCTGTAAGCAGTAAGTTGATGCCCAGCAAGCGGGGCAGAGTTTAATCAGGCAAGCCAGCTGTCATGTCTGACTCTGTATTCGTCTCCCCAGGGAGACGAATATGAATCTCCCATTTCTAGCCCCAAGTTGCCCACTCCTGCTTTCTGTGTCGAGAAGTACTCTCTCTGAGCTGTCCTTATCTGTTTTTATGACTAAAATTAAGTATTTTTGCAGGAAAGAAGTGTATTTCAAGAATTGTTTAAAACTGCTAGAGATTTGTGTATGTGTGCCTGTATACATATTTATGTTTCCACAAGTGTACGAAAGTTTATTCCTTTCTTCAGGTGGCTTCCTTAAGAGTTAAAAATAAAGCTATGATAAGGGGGTAGAAGAGTACATAAAGATGCAGTTTGTGTCATTAGTGTGTCATACTTAAGTGCTGACTATTTTATACCTCTTGTCATTGTATTTTCATGTGCTATTTCTCTGAGTTATGTTTTTCTTATTGTGTTAATGATCTATCAGATAGAATGTAGTTGATTTGTAGTTGCTATAAGTAAAACATCCGTAGATATAGATATTGTTCCCTCTCAATGCAAAAGATTGACTTAGAGTTGTCTTTCTAAGAATTCTCTGCATTGAAACAAATGCTGACAATGTGAAATCTGATTCTCTTGGATTTTTAAAAAGAAATATACAGACCCTATTCTTCCAGTGGCAGTGTTTCTGTTAACATTTCAGTAGAATTTGCACACATACATGTTTATATATTTGTACTGTTTTCCCCACACCCATCAGTGATGTCAAGTGAAAATCTTGACCACTGTGGGCCAGTGTGTGCAATTCTGTTTCATATAGTAGTACTAAAATTTGTCTCAGCTGTTACAAAAGAGTATCCATTCCCAATGTCACTCAAAACATTGTGCAAATATAGGATGCAAAATACCCATGCAGGCCAGGGCAGAGAGAGAGAGAGAGTACACAACTATATATTGTGACACACATCAAATTGGCTTTTTAAATATATATATATAAGCCAATTTGATGTGTGTCCCAAATTCCTTTGTAAGCCTTCTATTGACTTGCATCAGAAAACCAAAACAGCTATAATGTTTTTGCTATTAATGACAAACATGAAATTTGAAGGCATGAATTTGGAGACCCTAAAAAAGGGAGATTGCTAGAATCATGGGATTGCAAATGAGACACCTTTAAATTTTGCTTCTAAAAATGTGAAAAAGACCGAAGCAATCTGTGCCCCATCCAGTTTGGTTTGTACTCTGAGCTGAATCAGGCCATTGCACTTCAGCCTGGGTCTCACACAAAGTGGTCTGAATCAAACTGAGTGAGTTTGAAATGTGTGTGGGGGGGGGGTTCCCTAATCTGCTGCACAGTCCTAGCTCAAACTACAACTTTCCCCTGCTATTGTGTAGGAAAGTTCAGTGTTTTGGCAAACATCTTACTGGATACACAGTGGGCTTCTCTTTTGAGAAGGAACTAGAATTTACATTTCCCCATGTAAATCTGTTTCAACCTCCTTGTTTCATCCCAGTGAGATTTTACAACGATGCCTTTCAAATCCGGTCCTCTAAATAAGAGCCATTTGGAAAAGCCAATAAGGCAAACTTGTGGGGCTTTGAATGTGGTGAATTTCCCAGCTAAAAATGAATTCATAAGGGATGCTGGCTGGATAACTCAGTGAGTTAGAATTCTGGCTGTGACAGAGGTTGTGAGTTTAAACTCCCACTGTGCATCTCAGAAGAGCCAGCCTGAGTGGCCTTGGGCAAGCTGCACAGTCCCGGGTTTCCCTCAGAAGGAGGGAGTGGTAAACTATTTCTGCATACTCTCTACCTAGAAAACCCTGGGTGGCCAGAAGTCAGAACTGACATAACAGCACATAATTATTATTTATTAAGTGAAAATGAAGTCATTTAGAAAACTCGGCTCTTGGGTATATGTTTTCCTTTTCCCAAAATGTTGAGATGACATTTTTAGTTTTTAACAGCATCCTGAATGTTATTTATTGCCTCCTGGGAAGGTGACGCTCTTTAAAGCAGGAAGAGCAATTGCTGATTGTTAAAAGTAAACTTTTTGTGTAATTTTAACGTGTTGGAAGTGTCTTTTCCAGGATACATATCATAACAACCCCAGTGTTGTGTAAAAGTGTACAGTCAAGACGAGTGTAACATTGATCACTATTAGGGCTAAGAAAAATGGGAAGATGGTTATTTGGAGGCCAATTGCAAAACTTCACAAAAATGGATCAACTGCATCTTTTTTTGAAGGGAGAAACCACTTCTTGGAACAGTCTATGGATGCATGCATGGAATATTGATTAAAGGACTTTTGATTATATGATCTAGACTAGGGTCTGGAATATCTGATTGTGATCAGAAGGCTGACAGTATCTGGAGTGTGTGCTGTCTTATAGGATGTTATCTTAGAGGATGTTATTTTAACAGGCGGTACCCAATGCTTCTACCTGGCAGTCTGAACAAGGTGCTGCTCTTCAAAGATTGTGTTTCATTGCTGATCCCTGGGTGAATCCTGGGGCTTTGAAGTGGATATGAAGTAATGGACCATTAAATCTTTAGAAAGATGGCATATGATGATACTATGAAAACAATTTAATATTTGGGGGTTGGGGTTTTTTTGTTGTTGTTGTTTAACTTCATTTTGTGCAAAGTGTGATTTCCCCCTTTTGCTGTAAAACATTACAGTACATAAATTTGTAGCTGTTTATCTTTTATCTTTTTTTAAAAAAATGGGAAAAAACATGCAAACCAGTCTGCAATGTTTTGGTTTGGTCAAAGCTTGCAAATGAGAGAAGAACTATAAATGGGATTAACTGTAGTTGCCCCTTTTCCTTTCTACCTATTCTGGATGACAGTCACACATAGAGTCCAGCAAGCTTTACAAGGATTTTTCAAAGGGAAAATGAAACCAGTAAGCACGACTGTATTAGAAGAATTTAAACACTAATTCATATGTAAAAACTATGTAAGAGGACTCAACCCTACATTAGACAGAATGAGTCAGCTAACCTGGGGTGTTGTGTAAGGGCAGGAAATATTTAGTTCTTTAACTGTTGCTGGATTTTTGTTACCAAGGAGAAGGAGCTGCAATTGTGAGATCATCTGCCTCTTATAATTACTTGGGCATCTTTGGATTCTTGGCGTCTTCCTTGCCTGAAGTGAAGTAGCATCAAAATGCCTTGGGAGGATGATTCAGTAGAGATTGGTGTCTCCAGCGATAGTGAGCCAGTGAATCTGCTCCAGGTTTTAATCCGAACTGCAAAGGAAGTATCCAATGTGTTGAACCTATAAAATCTAGACTAAAAACTCAGGGGGATTCACTGCCACCACTGACATTGGAGAGCTACCGGGGTGATGTCTGTGTGAATAGTATCTGGCTTTCAGTGACACATTAATGTTGCAGAAGCAAATAGGAATAGTGATCTTTTTGTGAATCATGTGAACCTCTGCAGATCACCCAGGCCTCACAATTTACCTTTAAGGTTGGATCAGCCCACGGCCGTTCCTTTTGCTGCATCTAGCAACCTATAGGCCCAGTTCAAGCTGCAGTCTTCTAAGTCCTCAGGACAGTATCTCATCACTGTTTTTGGTATGAATATTCTTAGCGCTTGTTGCATCCCTGGAAACACAGACAGCTGTGCTCCTAAATCTGGATGTGCTTCCAGACAGGATGCTTGTGATTAGCAATCCCAATGCATTTGGAATTGATGAGGGAACTGAAGACTGTGTTGTGAATTTTGAAAAATCCCTTTCCTCAACCTAAGCGGAGCCTAGAACTTCATCCCAGACTCAGGCTAGGCTCATCTTGAGTTTGCCACCAGCCACCTCTCCTTTGGGGCTACAAACTGCTCAAGCAAGAGATGCCGCCAGCAACCTCTCCTCTGCAATTTTCAGTGGGAAAAGACTCACTAAGGATGTGTGGCAATCGTAGCTGTTCAGTAATGAAAGCTAAAAATCCAATATACGTATTCCAGCAGGAAATAACACTCTTGAACATACACAGGTCTTCAAGACCGAGATGGGAATGTTTCATTTTTATGTATGACAGCTACCTGACCTTGGTAGTCCTAACAAGTAACTTCCCTTTTATGGTTCAGGATCAGGATTAAAGATCTCTCCTGCTAATTGTGAGGCTTTCTTAGTCCTGGGCACATGTAGTTCTTTTGAACTGGGGAAGGCTTTAAAATTTTGGCTTAGGTTTTTAAAAAGACCCCAGCTAGATGATAACACGGATATGCATTTCTGATTATTAATTCTGATTACTTTTCATTGACGCATCACAAAATGAAGCACATTTAAACTCCTGTGGCACAGTGGTTAAGCTGTAGTACTGCAGTCAAGATTCTAATGATGATTCAGCCTTCCATTCCTACAAAGTTAGTAAACTGAGTACCCAGCAAGCTTGTGGGGGTGGGGTGGGGTGGGATGTGTAACCTGCATAATGACATTATAAACTGTTCAGAGAGTGTTTTAAGTGCTGTGGGGAAATATATAAGGAGCACAATTTACTTTGCTTTTTGCTTTACATATATGTGTTTCACCACTTGGAAGTTCATATCTTAAAAAAAAACTGCTTTGACTCTTAAGTACCACATTGTCTAAGGGGCAGCAGTATGATTATCACAGACAGGATGCTCCATCTCATGGTACCATATAGCAAACTGTTTTTAAAACAGAGATTTCAAAAGGAATGTGTGAGATATCCTGGAGTCTGTTGTTTAATGGGAATCATTTTTTAAAAATCACAATATACTCCCAAATCCAAGTCTGAAGTAACTCTGGATCTGGAATCCAAGCAA